ATACGGGGATTATATAAAAGATATCTCCCGCTGATTTTTATTACTTTTTACTTATTGAATAAGCAATTTATGTGAACATATATTTTTGTACGGTTTTCTACATATATATGTACGGAAAATAGTACATATATATGTACATAAAACCGTACAGAAACTAATATAAAACCGTATACAAAAATAATAGTGTATAAATATCTTTGTTCAATTCACACAACACAGCAAGTCCCATGAAGTCCCCAGCTAAACAGATCTTGTGTTTAAGTACTATACAACTAATAGATATACGTACATACATAATGTACATAGACACATAAACAGGCAGACCAATACAAACAATCATACTCATGAATACAAATGTACCGTGCGAGGAATCGAACCCGCAACCATTGGAATTTACTTTGGTTCGATTCCTCGCGGTTGCTTTTTTGGCCCAAACTCTTCAACAAAAAAAAAAAAATAAGGCGATTATATCCATAAACCTCACCAGGCTTTTATATATATATATTGTTATGATTAGTTCATAATATATTATTATAAACGTATTGTATTATGGTATTTTCTAATATAGTTGAGTGCAATGAACTGGAATATCTTGAATTCTGCTTGTGGGGACTGGTCTGTTCAGGTTGCGAACACTGATTAGATTTTTTGATTTTTTTTATAGCATATGGTGGTCACTCTATTCTCCCAAATTTGAATTTGAATGAAATAGTATTATTGTAAATATGTACAACATTAAAAAAAAATAGCTGGCTTTCACAACCTATTATTTGTCAATTTTCTGTAATAGACCTACATGAATAAAGATATTTTGAATTTTGAATTTTTAATACTGTAAATGTAATATATATATATATATATATTGTTATGTAATAACAATAAACATTATTATGTAATGTATTATTATATAATGTTTATTGTTATTACATGATTGATATTATTCAGTATTGTATTTGTTTTCTGTTACATGAACTGGAATATCTTTTTTTAAATATATATATATATTATTCATGACGGTCCAGACTGTAATGAATTTTTATTATCTAAATATATGTCAATTTTCTAATATAAAAAGAAAATTCGATATTCATAAAGACTAAACCGAATATTAGATATATATGATTGTCTATAAACTGCATATCTAAACAATCAATAGTTATTTTTATAATATATTAATATTATGGACATATTACCATATAATATTATTTGGTTCACAATATTTGTCAATATATAAATTGTTATATAATAACAATAGATATTATTCAACAGAGTTGTTTTTTTTCTGAACTGGAATATCTTGATTCCGATATTCGTTCTCCGTTTCCAATGACGGTCCATCGGACTGTAATGAATAGGGCATTCTCAACCTATTATTTGTCAATTTTCAAATATAAGTGACGCTAATACTGTAAATGTAATTATGTATTTTTATATATGCTTGTTGCCTTATACAGAAAATTAGACATATCTTTTATACCAATAAGCATAAAAAGGCAACTTTTTTAAATATGTATATATTATTCAACAGATTTGTTTTTATTATCTTTTTTAGATATCTATAAAAAAGAAAATTCTATATTCATTCTCCGTTCATTACAATGATTGTCTATTGGACTGCATATCAACAATCAATAGAACCACTTAAGGGCATTCACTACCGTAGCATTGCTACGTATACATATTTTTTTGAAAACAATTAACTATTTTCATTATTATGTATATTTTGTTTTTAGTCAGATTCGAACTTACTACTTTGAGGGTCTAAGTAAGAGTAGTAAACCATTAGCACGGCGCACTCAGAATACAAAAGATATATGAGAATACTTTTATTAACAATCTGTAGCTGACCAATGGATTAAGCCAATTGAATTGGACGAAACCAATCAAAATAAACCAACATATCTACAGAAACAAGAACCCAAATGATTGAAATCGAACTACCACACAAGACGCGATGGACTTCGAAACTCAGTCAATAATTATGTTCCACGCAGTAGAATTATTACGACCGACCAATTTTCCCTAAATTGAATAAGTTTGGGAATATTGTCGCTTTGGACAGCCTGTAGGGCGACAGAAATATACCTAGCACTAAATGTAAAATTATCAGTTCAATCAAGTTATGTTTTCTTGGAATAAATCTGACGTCCTGAAAATATCGTCAAATATTTTTATATTTCAATAGAAATAGACTGTGTTTTTTTTATTATATTTATCTGAAAATAGTCGGCAAATATGATTCTCCTTTTAATTTAATCTCACAGAATATTTGTTATCAATATGTAGAGGAATACTTTACTTAAAGAATTGTTGAAGTTATCTGATGATATACTTACAAATAAAAATATCTTAAGTTTAGTTGAAGTATTTAACTTTGTCTAAAAAAATATACGTATAATTTCTAGAAAGGTCGTCTATGTGGGTAAATTTGTACAGTTATTTTTATATATGTTTAATGTTTAAATTTGAAGTAAATAAGACTATAAGGGTGTAGGTCATCACTTCTACGCTATAAATTAGTGCCCTATGACGATCTTCATGTTTTATAAGTTTATAAAACATTCAACTAACTTCAGTCAATAGAGCTATTTTGTACTTGCACAGAAATGGAGAAATCCAAGCATTTATTTAATTTTTAACGAAAAAACTTACCATGAGAAGGTACAGAAACATAATATCTTTTTGTACCTTTTATTTTTATAGTTTTGGATGATACCTAATTTATTCCTACTAATAGAATATAGATGCCTAGCTAAGCATTACATGTTAATAAACTCTCTAATATTAAACTAAGTGAATAGTATTTCTTCTTCTAGCTTCTAAAGGTAGAATGCCATTTAAAATTTCTATGTGAAACGTGGAATGTTCATTAATTTTCTTTTAAAAACAAATAAGAAATGAACGGGTCCGTAATTAACGGTCCGAAGCAATACTGTTTAATTAACTTTCAAACGACCTTATCGCCTGGCAAGTCGTTCTAGTGCTTTCTAGCATTTCTTAGTTGTAAAAAATTTTTAATTATTCATGACTTTTTAAAACTTATTCCATTATGTACGTAATATCATTTTTTCTTCATCAACGGAAGTCATTTTTTTCTTAGTTCTTTCGTGTATGTTATGAGAATGTGTTTGTATTCTATATTTCAGTCAATCCTACTAGTAATGTTTATTATATATAAATTTTATAACTAATTTGAATTTAAGAGATAGAGTTTATTCATAAGTACTTATAAAAGAAATTCAAATTATGATATTAGATAATTCAGTTCACATAATATAATGCCATTTAGGTACAACTTATTTTTAAAACTTATTATTATATTGAAACTAATATTAGTACGTATACATTTCATTATATTTATTTACTTAATATATATAAATGTAATATAAATAATGTTTTAGTACAATATTGACTTAATACTGATATTTATAAAAAAAGATGCTAATAGATATAGATATATTTCGCGGAGATCGAATACGCGATTAACAAACGGTGAAGCAGTATATTTAACAACTACACCGTAAAAGTCATGTCACATTTTTTAAAAGTGAATTTTCATTTCCGCCGTTAGCCGCATTCATAACAGGGTCAAAATTTGACAAACACTCTTTGTAAGCAAACTTTCAACACGTTTTCAAAAGTCCCACATTTGCAGTGAACAAGTACATTGTTAGCGGGAATTCTGGTGGCGTGCCAAGTCCCGGTTGCACCTTTGCGAGACGTCGTGTTATTAAATCGATAATATATTTGAGTAGTGGGAAAATGAAAAATGGCCACTGGAAGAATTACTATAAACTGTCTACGGATTGTTGTCTTTGCATAACTAAGTTATAGTTTTTAATGGTGCATTCATTTGCTAATGGTATACGCTGAGCAGTAGAGAGGGAATTGGATGGGAATTAAGTCAGGTTAGTTAGCTCATTTATCATCTGCTTCTTCCTTATCCATTCACTTGGCCTCGGCGTAATGTTTTTCTCTTCCATTCATCCCCGTTTACAGTCACCTCGTTTTTAACTCCCTTTCATGCCATAATGTCTTTCACACAGTCTATCCATCTCTTTTTCGGCCTGCGTCTGCTCCTATAACCATCCACATTATATGTAATACATTTCTCAAAGTATTCCCTTCATTACTACGATAGCCGATAGATAGATTATGGGCATTAAATCAGAGTTTACTCCTTGTACAAAAATCATACTCAGGTACATACAGCCTTTTTATTCCAGTTAGGCTGAATTAGGCTCAGGCGATTTTACACTACTGCAGTACGTAATTGAGTATTGATTAAAGTATTATGTGACACCTGTGATGTACATTTTGTTTGGTCATTATTGTTTATTGTCTTTGTTATATGTTTTATTTGTATTTATTTTGTATTGTAGTGAGGATGCAAATGAAATAATTATCGATCTATCTATTTACCAAGGTGGTTTCAGTGGGACTACCATGGATGTTAACTTACTTACATGGACTGTTGACCCTATAATTAACAATGTAACGTACATTGTTAAGTATAGGGTCAATAGTCCCCATAATTATATCTGCTCTTGCCACCTGTGTATTATTAAGTGATCAGCTTAATAATCACTGGTTTAAATTAAAGACAACATTTCACTGATATCATAAACATAGCAAAATAATTCAGAAATAATAATCTTTACTAAAATAAACATTTCTAAATAATCATATTTTTTTATTCTACCACTGCTTCGGAACGCAGACTCGTCATAAGAAAAATAGCAAAAAAATAGCAAGAAACTTACGTCTTTTAAATAAACGTTGATCAGCATTACACTTTTAAGATTTTGTGTAAATACAAACTGCCAAATAGTAAATTGATATTAGTAAATTAATAGTTATTGGAATAAAATAATTGTAGAATTACTAGGTTTGAAAAATTCTTGTTTAATTAAAGCAATTCATTGGTCACTTCTTAGTACTGTTAGAGTCTTACCAACAAAGTACCACATTTAATAAATGATGACTAAACTAATTTACAGGCTTACCACGTATGCCACGATGGGCGGGAAGGTCATCAGGGCGCTTCGTTCCTGTGCACCAATGGAACACTGTTCGATCAGACCAAGTTCGCCTGCGACTGGTGGTACAACGTGGATTGTTCACAGGCTATTCAGCATTACAGGTGAGTTATTTAAGATTTTATAATAATAACTCAGGATATCAGCGCCATACAGCACCGTCTTGTTCCAAGCTAAGCAGAGCAATTGATATATACATTTCTTTTGTAAATACATACATAATATACATAACACCCAGACCAATAGAATAGAATAGAATAGAATAGAAAATCATTTATTCAAATAAACTTACATTGAAGCACTTTTGAATAGTCATAATATTTTTTTTTAATCTACCGCTCATTCTGAATGCTGTCTCATCACAAGAACAAGCAAGAAACTTGTGTGTTGCTCTTTTAAATAATTTATTCTTACTTACAATTTAAGTTTAAGTGTGTGAATACAAACCACCGATTAGCACTAATTCAATGAAATAATAAAATAGTAAAAAAATTCAATATACAACAACTGGTTAAACAATTAATAAGAGAAAATAAGTCATAGTGATTAAATATAATCATATTCATATATAAAATGTTTTTACTGTGCGAGGAATTTAACCCGTGAACTTTGGAGTAAAGCAGTGTGCTGAACAGTTAGACTACCTGGGCAATATTTTGAAAATTCTATTAGTGTTGGATAGCCCTTTTATGGGAAAGCTATGTAACATTATGTAACATATTGTAGAAAAAACTTATCGCAGACGAAGTTGCGTGGGTCGGCTAGTTATGTATATACTAAATTGAAACTGTATTCTATTGACATATTTTTATTTGGTTTTTATAATATATATATGTTGACATATTACATTGACATCTGGTTATTTTACTTTGTTTCAGATTAAACGCTGATCCATTGAAAAACCCATACGTACCAAAACCCAAGCCCGAAGAAAAGGAATATGCCCAAGGAATTTATTATAGAAAAGTTTAAAGTTTATAAAAAAATCCATATCAAATTTCTAAAACCATTATTTCTAAACATTTCAAAGAGCTAGCTAAATATGTTTTAGAAAATGCTTTAAAAAATATTAATACCGTTTGAAAAGTACCTATAAAATCATGGTGGCAGACGCAAACTTGTTTGTTTAACTTGAAAATCCTTTTTTTTCTAATTGAAGAAACTTTCTATTCTAAATTTCATTATATTTTCTATGCCTATCCGATATAACGTCTTTGCCTAATTATTGTGATTATTTCTTTTTTATTAAATTAAAAAAAATATATATCGTTCCACGTAATAAGAATCCTTGAAAGTTCATTTACACAGCTGTGTAGCATTACTTTAATAATAACGAAATATTAGAGACTGTTTTTCATTAGATTCGTGTTTAATTAAAAAATATATATTTTCATGTTAGGTACAAGAATTGAATTTAATTTTCCATTATTTCTTATAAACTTTATTTCAATCTATTATCAAGTACATAAGTACTATAAAGTTATGTTTTTTAATATATACTTACTTTTACCTTTTTGTTCTTTTTATTGATGAGACAGACAGTCTCATCCACAGAACAAAAAGGTAGACATGGAATATCTTACTTTACTGCGTATGTAATATATACTATTTTCCTGTCACTAATACTTTTATAACAATTAAAGAACGTCATAACTAAACAATTTAAACAAACAAGTAACAAACCTGTTTTAAGCTACGAAGAACCATTTTTATTTGCATGTCTATATAGCAAATTAATTACAATTGTTTAAATGTATGTGTCAAAAATATGATACGAGTGTGTGTGGTTTTCTAAGTGATTTATTATGATTATCCTTTTATGTAATTCTTTGTTTTGCATTCTTATCTATTTCAGTTGCTACGTAGTATGCTTTGTAAGTTCTATTTCCAGTGGTAACGCAACAGCGGGCGTCCCATAACGACGGTATCTCTGTTAAGGTGTTCATATATATATAGGCGACGTCACCACTTACCATCAGGTGGACTGTCGACTTATTTGCCATTATTTTTGTATAAAAAAACTCTTTTATTAATCTTAATACTGTTTTCTTGTAAGTATCATCGCCTATCTTATGATATAGAGGTTTAGTGTTACTGTATACTTAATGTGATATATTCATTGATAATACAAGTTACTCGTACGTTATTTTTAAATTTCTTTCCCATACTTTGTATATGTATAATGTATATTGGTAAATTTCTGTCACTAATGATTTTATTTCGAATGTTTGAGTAAACTAAAGTCACAATTATTTAATGACTTAAGACATTTGTAAAACAATAATAAGTTGAATCTAAAAATGAATTAATAAAATGAACCTCTATTTCTATATCATTCTTTAATTTTAATTTCAACTAAAGTTAAAAACTAAATATTTACTTATATATATATATAAATGTAAAGATCAAAAGTGAGTTGAAAAATTGTATAATAGCTGATTTTAGTATTCTTTTAACAATTATCTGCTACGAAGCAGAGATTTACATGAAGAATTATTATTTAATCGCCACCACATTTACTTATAATGTAAATAACAGTGAAATAATGAATATAAATACTTATATTTATTAGAATTTATAACACTCTTCGTAATTTAAGAACAATTATCATTTTTATTAGTAACTCCCACTTTGATAATAATAAAAACACGGCCTACATTTATCTATTAAGTTCGTAAATTATTTAAAAATATACGGTTTATTTGTGCCTTTAAATATATTGTCTGTTAAGCAAAAATCCAATTTACCTAGGCAATATTTATAGACATTAAATATAATTTTATAAAAATGTGTTTTGTTTCAATTAAATGTTCTTTTCTTGTTTGCGTAATTATCTAAAAATACTATTATATTTTTATACGGTTTTATTAAAGAATATCAATTAATTCAAAAATAATTGAGGTCTTTTCAGGTGTAACATTCTAAGAAATAATATATACTTATTTCTTTTATTAAGTAATATATATATATATACAGATACAACTACTCAAAGGCATATTCTAGATTCTCCTTCAATGATTGACTCCCTTCACGAGAGAGCGGTTCTTCAGCTTACAGCTGAAGGAATTATGATGAAATTTGCTTAGATTATCTTTGTAAATATGGTTAACGTTAAAAAGCTTACTAAAATTTATTCAAAAGCGTAAATTAATTAATTTTATGAATACTATATATCTGAGATTATTAAGTAGTGTTTCAATAAAATAACAGATGGCGTTGTAAACATGTTTTATGTTATCGTTGGGTGAATGCTGTCTAGCAACGTTTGTAAAACTGACGAAAAAATTTATTCACATATATACGAAATCGTAGACACAATATTTATTTATAATTGTCTTTACATGGTATAAAATAAAGTCGCTTCCGCTGTCTGTGAAATTAAATCGTTTACTCTAAACTACGTAACGGATTATAATGCAGTTTTAGCAATAGATAGAGTGATACAAGAGGAAGGTTTATATAATACTTGTACAGAAAGCCGGGCCCGAAGCCGGAGTGGGTAGCTCGTTAAATTCCATATTGTTTTATTCACAAATGTAACAAACTCATTACACCATAGCATGTCAATAGTAATTACAATTATATGCAACAGATATATATATATCACAATTACAATATTAACTATTTTATTTTAAAAAACTCTATTAATATTATGTCATAATTTTACATTGGAATTCAGATATTATATATATATATATATATATCTCACCGTTGATTCTCAATACATTTATGAAAATATCATCTATGCCATAAGGAATATAGACAATTTCAAAAGAGTGATTGCACTAATAAAAGCTTACGTAACAATAACAAACTGATACCTAAATGTCGTTTGGCTAAAGTTAGTAATTCGTGTTATGACAATTGCGTAAGGTTTTACAATAAAATACCAGAGTCTGTTATAAATCTGCCAGAAAAAAGATTTAAATGTCAAATAAAACAGTTCCTTTGCAAAAAAGCTTACTATAAAATTGAAGAATTCGTTAACGACAATAATGTTTTTATAGAAAAACTTTAAATCCATAGCACTGACAATATTATCTGATTACATTAATAATGAGTGCGTAGCGACTTCTATGTTGATTATCGCATGCCTCTTACTTGTTATACTTTAATTATTTATATAAAAAAAAAACATCTATTAAAAAGAGCAACACACAAGTTTCTTGCTCATTCTTCTTGTGATGAATCTGCATTCCGAATGAGTGGTAGAATCAAAATATGACTATTCAAATGTGCTTGTTATGAGTTTATTTGAATAAAGATTATTTCTATTTCATTATAAAAGGATGTTGCCGAAATATTATTTTACTTTGTTCAAATTCAAAATATCTTTATTCACGTAGATCTATTACAGACTCTTATGATAGATCAAATCTACTATCAATTCGGAATGCTTTAGAGATGAGAAGAACTGACAAGAAACTCAGCTCATATCCTTTCCAAATATGGTTGTACATGTTTAGAATCAAACAGATTCATTTTTAAATTCAAATTCGGGAGAATAGAGTGACTACCAGATTATGCTATAGCAATTTTGTCAAAAGCTTTTAAATTCTATTAATTATTCTGTTGCTCGATATATTACTTTTTAAGTACACTACTACTGAACAGATTTTGATACAACTTTACAGTAATATAGCTTATTCATCAGAATAATACATCCTTACTAACTTTACAGATGTGAAAGTAGGAATGTTTGTTACGCTTTCGCAAAAACTACCGAACCAATCATCATGAAATTTTGTATACATATTCTTGGAGGTATTAAAAGGAACGTAAGATACTTTTTATTAAAAAAAATATATATAGCGAGCGAAGCCGCGGGTAAAAGGTAGTATAAATAGGCTATAAATTAAAAAGATATTATGTAAATTGGGCGAAATATACTAATAAATGTCGAATACGTATAATGCTAAAAGTTATTCAGTTGCACATTCGTTAAAAGCCACTATAGTAATAAAATGAGGATAAATAATACTGCTTCCGACCATCGGTCGATTGCCGACACATGCGATAACGACTGATTTATACGGAGCCGGGCAGTGTATGGTACTTGTGTAATAACTTGAAACCCACATTTGTTCCCGCTCACGTAAATCAATAGGTAAGTTCATGAAACTTCATTCACTGTTACAGTGTTAAAATTTAAAAAGAATTTGTGACTGGCATGGGTACTCAATAATTATTATTAAAAAAGTGTATAATAGTAAAATGTGTATAATTCACAAAGAAGTAGTTAATAGTGATATACAAAAAAGAGATATCAAAATAATAAATAAATAGAAAAGGGATGTACGGGAGATGAAAAATTGTATGGCAATATCGTCATTTTCAAAGCTTGAAACTTATTTTTTAGGCTGTTGATTGAGTTGTATGGAATTATTTATGAACATTCGTCATTTTTTAAGCTAGAACTATGAAACTTTTTTACATGGATTTAGTGATTACTTTTGGTCTAGCTCACTATTTTATGAGGACGAATTCGCGGGTACAGTTGGTAATACAATATTTATAAAAATAATAGTGGACAAGCTGCCAGCAACATATACCTTTTTAGTATTATAAAATATATACATTTAATTTATACAAGTGGTCGGATACACCATAATTAATTTAAATATATATGAAACATATAATGGAACATTTATTTTATGGTTATGTTTGATATTCAGTAAGACTACAGATAAATAATATAGACAAGATATATTTTTTTAATATTTTTACAATCTAAAATATAAGCATATTGTCATTATATTTATTCTTATGCTTATTTTTTGTTTTTTCTAAGAAAATAATTGTTTTTCTTTTAGAAAAGTGCAATTACGCATCATAGCTTAAGTAAAGCCATCCTTTCTTTTATCTCAACAAATACATACGTCAGAAACAAGACGTTTTCCTTTAAATGTCAAGTATATAATTATAACATAAAATACAGTTAAGAAAACCTTTGTTTTACCTGCGAAGTTAAT